AATCACAGACGAGCTAAACTACATGAAGTGATCACCTTCTGAAAGATCTACTGATACTAAACTTAGAATAATGTTTGTTTCAACTCCAAGTTTCACAAATCCCTCTAGACTTATAGAATTCATAGTAAGAAATGTAAATATTTACATTTTTTACTGTAACATAGCGAATACAAGGATATTGTATACCAGGAAGTGCCCACCCCATCGGAAAATATGAAGCAACGAATTAATGCAGCATGTGCGGAAGTGTTAAGAAGTACACGTGCTTCTGGAATTGAACGATTGCAGTGTTGCATTAATGCAAACGGACGTCACTTCGAACACTTTTGACGTAAGAATCATTGTCTTATTTTTTATTTAATGACGAATGACTTTTTATTATAGGTCGTTGAAATCGTCTAAATACCCGCTATTACACTAAGGTTAAAAAAGTATGGCATGCCATTTAAAAAAGTGGAGATGACCTTGAAATTTCCGAAGTGCCTCCACCTAGAAAAATTATGACTAGCATATGTTACAGTTCTCTTGATGTCCTACAACTTTTGTAATGACAATATTTTCATATCTCTGAAAATAGCGGTGATATTCAGGGTGGACAAAGTTATTGCCCCACCCTGTATATACAGGGTATCCCGACCTTTTTTGCCAATCACTTTTGTGTAGATAGAGCGGACTAAACTGAGTCGAAAACTCTCTCTACCATTTTGCAATTTTCGCAATAGTTAACAAGATATTAATTACTAAAAATTGCAAAATATTAGTCTTGAATAATTTTTTACTCAAATACTATCAACTTTACAGGAAAACTGCAGGAGACAAAAATTATGTATTTTTCATAAAGATCTGAGAATTTTTTCAGAATTTTTTAATACCATATTTTTTCGTGTTGGTAAAACTAAGAAAATACAGTACTAAAAAGTTGATTAAACATTCTGGAAAAATTCTCAAAATTTATGAGAAGAAAATAAATAATTTCTGTCTCTTGCAGTTTTTCTGTAAGTTTATAGTATTTGAGTAAAAAATTATTCAAGATCAGTATTTTGCAATTTTTAGTAATTAATATCTTGTTAACTATTGCGAAAATTGTAAAATGGTAGAGGACTTTTCGACTCAGTTTAGTCCGCTCTATCTACACAAAAGTGATCGGCACAAAAGGTTGGGATACCCTGTATATATATTAAGGCAGTCATTATGATAACAATTTTTGAAATATGTATGATCGGAACACTCCCTAAAGTGGGTTCAATATTTCAAAAAAATAACATTCGAATTTTTTCAGATGTTTTTTAAACAATATTAACCCGTGCCACCGAAGCGTAATAGACGGAAAATCACTTTTTTAGACAAAATTCAGCCGACGCTCTAATTCTAATTCTTAACCAATTTTAAAGTTTTTTTTATTGGCTCGAAATTGAATGAGCTGTAGCTCATTCTGCACAAATTTAACAAAATGGCCGATCCAATATTCGTTATCGTATAATTTTAATTTTTTTTTTGCTCACTTTATTCGATTGTCCTGGCGGAAAAATTTCTATGCTAAAGTATGCCAAAAACTATTCCTAAATACGCGGTTTGGAACACAGAAGTAGTTGGACGTAGAAATCTATTCCTATGCTAAAGTAAGCCGATTTATGCTTTTGTACGCCAAACAACACAAACTGCGGCAAACTATGCCAGAAACGCTTAATTACGCTAAAAACTATGCCTAAGTACACGAATGAAACATGGAAGTAGTTCGATATAAAATTCTACTCCTATGCCAGAGATTTCCTACGCGAAACTGTACATTCAGGGTGCTATTTTATTTGTACGTTTTTGTCGTACGTTAAATGTGTACAAAACAGAGAGGTCTTCGGATCTCTCTATCCCATAGCCAATCAACAAGCTTGAAAAATTTGTCGTTTAAATTTAAACAGTACAGTGTAAGGGTGATATTTCATTTGTGCGTTTTTGTCGTTAAGTAACATGTATATGGAATATGTCTTGAATTCATTTGGCATGAATTCAAGATGCCATCACGTTGCTGTCATGATGAAATTAGAATTTCATCGTAGCATGGGTACTTTAATATTAAAGCCCAACTCACTTCGCATGCGAAATGCTGCTCCTTATATATTTTCCCAGGTGATTCTTATTTACGAGTTTATGCATCTCCGCTGTGGCCCTCTGTCGACGGAGATGCATAATGCTCACATAAAAACACGTACCTTAGAAAACGATTTTTTCGTGCAACCGCGTAGCTTGGCGTAGATAGGCATAGTTATTTTTATGCCCAACTATTCGATTTTAGAGATTCTGCGTAGAAAGACGTAGAATGGCATACTTTCTCCGAATACTTACGAAAAAATAAAAACCAGTTTAGAGGAGTTCAGCATAGAAACACGTAGTTCAGAAAGTAATGATCATTACTTATGCGTACTTTGGCGTACGTTCTGTGCCTAACTAGATCCAAATACGTCATTTTACATCTTTCACGTAAAATCACATAACTTGGCGTAGTTATTTCCATGTTTAACAACGCGATTTTACGCCACAGTCATAGAAGTAAAAAAGCGTTTTGCGTACTAATTGGCATAAAAATTTTTCTACCAAGGCGGCCATTTTTTATTTGAACTATTGTTACCATGTACGCGACATGTATGGTCAGTTACTAAAAGGTTGCAATACTTTTTTTCGGGTGGCACCCAGTTGGACACGGCTCAATTGGACACGAGCCACTCACATGAGACTACAAAGCTCCTAAGCACCGATCGCTGTGATTGGTGGTGTCCAATCGAGCCGTGGTCAATCGGGATCACCCCCTTTTTTTCGATGGGTTTCGGAATGCAGCTTTCTCACCGAGCGATTGGTTCTTATTCATGAATCTACAAATAAGAACCAATCGCTCGGTGAGTAGGCTGCATTCTCAGAAAAAAAGTGTTCGAATCCTTTCGGGTCCCGCCTGTACATACATACGATGGGTGCGTTCAGCAGACTCAGTCTGCTGAACGCAGCCGATATCTCACGCTAGGGATACACACTAGGACAGTAGGAGGCGCGCGACAGACGGACAGTGTAGAGTTCCTCTAGTAAGAGTTACGACATAAGAGCGGAAGGACATCATTGCCGGGTGTCGGATACCGGCCGGAAACAGCACAATTCCACCATGGTTGACAGTTGATAGTCTGATTTCGCGTTTACATCTTCTACACCATGAAACATTTGCTCACACCAATTCACAGATTCACTACCACATCGAAAGTATCTACAAGTGGCGGCGTTTAAAGGGATTCGAAATCAGGAATCAGTGCCCCTCATGACTTAACTCTTACTAGAGGGACTCTAGAACAGTGAACTAACACACTGAATTGTCTAGATTAACCAAGCACATCGTCCTTTGTATTAGAATAAATACTTTTCCTATTTTATAAAGTTACACTACTGCAGATATTGTTTCCAACAATTCCCTTTTCTTCTTCCATTCCCAAGAAGTGAATAAGTTGTAACAACTATAATCAAATTTATGCAGAATGGGCTTTTAGCTCATTCAATTTCGAATAAAATTTTTAAAAAATCTAAAATTAGTTAAGAATTAGAGCATCGGCCGAATTTTGTCTCTAAAGGTGCTTTTCTGCCTATACTGCTTATCCCGGTACGTGGCACGGGTTAGTATTATTCACATAAAGGGGTAAAAAAATGGTATAAATTTAATGAAAGACACTGAGCTATTGGATAAATCTTATTTTAACATACTTGACGATATACACGAACATAGTTTATAATATTTTCGAATAAACTTGTTTATTTCGTGACTCATCGACATATATTCTGTGACCTATCTGTAATATCAGTCCATTCGAAAACATCTGACAATCAATAGCGCTTTATTATACTAATGACACAATTCCTGATTTCAATTCAAATAACTGTTCTATATAAATTATCGTAAGTGGAATAATAACTTTTCATCATTATTGTATCATTTTAGTAATTTTTAAATTATATATTGACTTTCAATGGTACAGAATGTATTAGGACACTTTTGATGAAATCTTCGACCGGATTGTCTTTTTATATGAAATTGTTGACTGAGCTGATTCTCGATGACAACTGATGAACTGGTTACACACAATTTTACAATTATGGACTTTCAATCTTCAGACCGGATACCTGTATTGATCCGTAACATCTTAACGCAGAAATATATAAGATTAGCTTAGAGCGATAATTTTTATTATATATTATATTAGGTGTTAAACTTAATTCCTGCCGTTTTTCGTCTCCAAAATTGATTTGTTTTGAAGGGGAATATCTTAATCAAAGTATTATTAATAAAGTATTATTAATTAGTAATAAAGTAGAAAATGGAGGAAATTACTTTGATTAAGGTATTCATTCATCTTCCCTTCGAAACAAATCAATTTTGGAGACGATAAACGGCAGGAATTAAATTTAACCTAATAAGTACGTTCGTTGACATTGTAAGGGGTATAAATATGTTTTTTTTATAATCACTGATGAAAACTTTGTAAGTTGAAACGTTTGAGGTTTTTTAATGTTATACGTATGTAATTAAAATTTGAATTTTATTAATTAACTATTATTGCTCGTTTATAATAAAAGCCTTGACATTTTAATTAATTGCGTATTATTCAACAAATCTGAAAAAATTCTGGTGTTATTTTTTTTTTTGAGGTATTGAATTACCTTAGAGGGTATTCCAATTAAATTTCAAAAATTGAGGGGATGGGCGGAATAAATTCCTAATTACAAAATCTTGATATTAATAAAAATTAAAATAACTTACTACTTTTTAATTATACACAAATGGGTACAATATTAAATAAAATTTATGTAATGTCTTTAAGAAGTTACATGTTACAATACTTTTCTATTACAATCAATAATATATGAAAAAGCTAATTGCCGAAAAAAGGGCCTAAGTAGAATTATGCCTTTATTCCGCCCATCCCTTTAATTGTTAAAATAACGGCCACCCTAATATGTATATACATTTCCTTTCTTACATAATTATTTCAATATTTCAGAGATCAGTATGTGCCCGTCATCTATAGCAGCATGGTTTTACGCACGCAATTATAGTGTTTGTCTTTGTTGCCAGAAATTTTCTCAAAAAACCAAATATTCATTAACGATACCTACTTATGAGGACACATGTAATAACACTAATATCGATTTTTTTGAATGGCTGGGAGTCTTCAGCATTGATGGTGATCTGTACGCTCATTTGTATTTTAAAATGGTTTTTCACGATGATTGGTAATGCCGCAGGAATGTGACAATGACAGCTGTAACATTTTTAGATCTACTAAGGGTGAAGATAATTATGCAAGTATATATCAGCGTCCTTCTCCTTCGATATATGTTAAACAGGTGCAGCATTTACAGTGGACTGGATTCTTCACACGACAAAAGATCCAAGAAGTATATAATGCTCTAAAACAATATATATTATCACGAGATACTTTACCATGGATTAGTTTAGACATACAAGGATTTGCAGATAGTGCTATTAGCTTTGATTTGAAAGAGCATACGTTCTTGACTGATGGAGACAATAGTTACACTATTGTATTTCAACCGAAAGATAAAGTCGTTATACGAAGAAATTGAAGTTCAAATAGTAAGATAAAAGTACATCATTAACTTTTTCTTGTTAATAAATACCTGTTTTATATTATACTCATCAACAAAATTATCGCAACATACACATTTATACCACAATTTTGCATAATTTCAAGTAACCATAACGTGAAAAATGATCATATATGAATAATGGTTCTAGTTTTTTTTTGTTCTCAAAGGGTACAGTTTATACTTTAAGAAGCTTTCGATAAATTTTAAATTCATTCTTACTTTCGCTCACTATCTTTTCTAAAATAAGAGCGTATTACGTCTCCAAAAAATTGCACAATTTGCCGCACTGAAAAAAAATATAGTCAATTTTAATAAATATTTAGTTGAATACTGCCAACTAAATATTTATTAAATATAAAGATATATTTATTTGGTAAGAAATGTTAATTTAATTTAACAATCTTTTTTTTACTGAACAAATATTTATTTACTGTAAGTAAATGTTTAGTTGGCAGTATTGAACTAAATATTTATTAAAATTAATTTTAAAAATAGAAATTATAAGGCTCAATAGAATAAATCAATGGGAAAATGTTTCAAAAGCCAATATGAGCCGACACAAGATGTCAGTGTGCAATGATAATAATTTATTATAAATAAACTAAATTTAAACTAAATTTAAACGTTTCGACCTATGATCAAGGTCCTCCTCAGTATTATAAATAAGATTCATATTATAAATAGGAAACGCAATGTATTATACAAAGTATAACAAAGAATAACCTAAGAACGTGTAGCGCCATATAATGTGGTGGAGTTGTAAATCCCGCAGTCAGTATCATACTCATTAAAGTGTCAAATTTACTAAAATAATTAATTGAAATCATGTATCAAAATTATGAGGTTTATTTGGAAGAAATATAACTAATTAATTATAAAAAGAGGACCCTCACATGAGTGAAAGATATGACTGATCCATTAAATTGATCGGTTTACTAATTATAAAAAAATTATATGTAGTAATTAGTTAGTTTATTACGATAAGAACCATAATAAGGATAATAAAAATTAAAGCTTACATGAATCACAAACTGAAAGTACAATTTCAAACGTACAGAGTTAACCACGGAATAAACAAAATTGAGAAAGGAACTAAAAACGTGGCGCTGTAATCCGCTGACAATGTGAATTGCCAATAACTAAATTTAGGATTATATACATGAACGAAATTTATCAAATATGGAAGCACTATGGGTCAGCAAATAAATCAATATATAATGGATCAAGAGATTGAGTATCAATTTGTAGATTCAATCCATGTTTTTGTTTCTTTATATGTATCATTTCAGATATTAACCTCTTTTTTAATATTTTCTCTTTGTCCAATATATGTATGGACTCCCAATCAAATTCATGAGACGAATCAATTCGATGTTGTGTAATTACGGAATCCTGGGTAGTATTTCTATTAATATGATTTTTGTGTTCTTTTAAGCGTGTTGATAGGAATCTACTTGTCTGTCCTACATAAGATGAATCACAATCCTTACAATTTATTCTGTAAACTACGTCTGATTGAGACAGGTATGGTAAACGATCCTTTTGAACTTTAATTATTTTATTCAGTTTATTAATGCCTATGTATGCAAACCTTATTAATTGAGAGTCTTTGAAAAATTTTTTAATTCTTTCAGAGATTTTAGGAATAAACGGTAAAGTAAAAAATTGCACTATTTTGTTATTATCATCCCTTTCTTCATTATTTCTTTTTTCAGTTTCCTTAATTTCATCTGTTAATTGTTTATCAGAAACTAATGTCATTTTATTAAATACGTCAAATTTTTTGTAAAGTCTTTTTTTAATGGTCGTTATTATAAGGTCAAGTGGATATCCGTTATTCATTAAAATTTTTATAATTGAGTCAAAATTTTTTTGATGAAAAAGTGGATGAGATAACAGTAATACTCTATCTGTCATGCCAATAATAGTACCTATTTTTTGACACAAAGGATGCCATGAATAGTAATTCAGAAATCTACCCGAGAATGTTGGTTTGTGGTACCAATCAGAAATTATCGTGTTTTCTTTTTTGATCAAACAAACATCCAAAAAATTCAATGAATTGCCACCATTTTCAATTGTAAACTTAAGTCTTGGATGATAAGAGTTAAAAACATTAAATATCTCAACTATATGGTTCTCATCAATTATTAAAAGTATGTCATCCACGTATCTCAAGTATAACAAAGGAGTGATCATAAGTTTCTTTAAAGAGTTACTCTCAAGATCCTGCATTACTATATCCGCCGATATGGGTGAGAGAGGGGAGCCCATAGGAACACCAAATATCTGTCTGTAGAATTTATCATTGAAAGTAAAAAACGAAGAATTCAAAACTAATGTTAATGCTTAAAAAAATTCCACTTTAGGAATTTCAGTATTGCATTCTATAAGATGCCACCTCTTAGAGATTCCATCCAAGACCAAATCAACTGGTATATTAGTAAACAATGATACTACGTCTAATGAAACTAAAGATGCTTCATCAGGAACTCTCATTCCTTCAATATTTTTAATCAATGTAAAACTGTTCTTTACACCGCTGTCAACTGAAGATAGACTTTTTTTAATTATGCTATGGAGATATGAGGCTAAGTTATGTAAAGGACTGCCAATTGATGAGACTATGACTCTCAGTGGATGACCCGGTTTATGAATCTTTGGAAGTCCATACACACGTGGTAAAGTTGCAATGGAACTATTGAGATTGTAATAAGTACCATCAGGCACGAATCCATTTTGCTTCCATACC